CCGTCGGAGGTGGGCACATGGGGTGCACCGCTCTGCCGCTGTAGCTGCTTTCTTCCCCGGTGAGCTCCAGCCTCCTCTGCTTGGAGTTGGCCCAGCTCAGACCTTCTGGGTTTCGAGCTTCGGCAGCTAGTGCGGGATGTCGTGAAACAGCTGTGAGAGCGGTGGCCTTCGGGCCCAGGAGCGGGGAACTTCCTTATTTCCAGCACAAGCTGGGCATGAATCGCAGCAGAGGGGGGATTTCCACAGCTGTGGTTTTCAGAGCGCTCGTGTCACTGACTGCTTTCACTTCCAAGAAATGGTAAAAAGACTCTAACATTTTAAAAGGCAGATTCTTGGGCAGCCTGTGATCCCATCCCTTATGAATATTTTTGCACAGATTAGTATCGTGTATGTTGCTTTCTACAGTGCATGTTTTTGCAAATGCAGAGATGTGACAGATAGACGAGTAAGGAGTGAACTTACATTACACTGACAGCTTAGTCAGGCGCTGGAAAATAAGGGAGAATTTAGGCAGAATGGGAGAATTACTGACTGATGCACCTTTCAGATGCTAGAGGATCCTGACGAACTAGCAGTGCTGGAAGAAATCCAACATGAATTGGTGTTGCAAGGTAATTTCTCAAAACGCTTTTTCAGACTTCAGTTTAAATCGTAATATTTCTGACTTTCTAGTAATCCAAACGGGGGTGAGACTGAACTCCTTAGTTCTTGTAGACCATGGGAGTTTCAAGAAGAGCCTCTTTGGAAGTATCTGTGGCCTCTCTAGGGCACTGAGCCCTTTGTGACAGTTGTAAGTTTGAATGGCGCTTTAGGGTCTGTGAGAAGCTAATAGAGTCAGGAGACAGCACTGTGACGTTTGGGAGCTGTAGGAGCATGTATAAATCAATGCAAAGTATTTCTAGGTTGCTGGTTGAAGTGTGTTATATTTGCACAGTTGAGACCGCCTAAGGATTGAGCCATAGGAAAAACTAGATTAACAGGAATCATTCCTCCAAGTGTAGAAATGCGATCCAAAGATAAGATAGACACGTTCAGAAGTAGTGGCTGTCACAGACTGTCCACCAAGCAACCTCATGCATGTTTCTGTAGCATCTTGAGCTCATAACAGATGTCCGAGGGTGTTCTGTTCCTTGATTGCAGAACAGTTGCTTATAGAAGAATATGAGCGAAGTCTTCAGTTTGATGAAGAATGTCTCAATGCGATGCTTGATGGCTTGGATGCTGGTGACAAGATCATCTGCCCCGTGTGTAGAAAGTAAGAACGCTCTTGGCGCTGGAACGAGATGCGTGACAGAAGCCTCCCAGGGCTTCTCTACTCCGTAGTCTTGCAGGTCTGAGCAGCACTCAAAAGCTGTGCTACTCTAGATATTGTTCTCTTAATGAACGCTGGCTTCTTTCCTGTTGTTCTGTGCAAGATATTTGGGTCTTTTCGTGCAGCCGCCTCTGTCTAGAGCACTCTGAAGGGAGTTACAACAAGATCATTGTGTAAGTTAAGGCTGAATTTCAGCTGCAAGGTGATAGCACAGAATTTCTCTTCTGTGCCATTCATGGAACAAAGTATTCTGTGAGGAACCTTGGTGCTGCAATCAACCTAGCCATAATTAGCACAAAGAGGGATTGATTCTCCACCCTCCTCCCGCACATAAAAAGTTTGGGCTTAGAAACAGGCGCTAACAAAAGCAACAGGCAAACACAGGCTCCTGTTTGTGGGTATTTCAACAAAATAGAAAACTGAGCAACGAGCTCCAAAAATCTAACAACTCTTGCTAAGGTCTGCCTTTGTTCTAGTTGTTGTTGTGAAGATGCTCAGTGTCTGCTGTCTTCTTAGGAATAACCTGACCGTGCGGAATCACTTGGTTTTTTGCCAGTGTGGATTATACATCAGTACACAGGTAAGCTATGTTGTGGATGAAGTGTAATTAACATCCTCTGTCTATTGCGAGGTCAGCCTCCTTCTGAACAAGAGGAGGCAGTTTTAAGCTACGGAGCAACTTAAGTCTAAGATTTCTTTTAACCCAATTTATCTCAGGATATGACAGAAGAGAAGCTCCGTTCAGTTCTAGAAAACACTATAACAGAGCACAGTCACAGGTGCTTTCACAATCCAGAGTTTACTGTTACCAGCGGAATGGAGGAAGAAACCAGTCTTCTCATGAGCTGTTCGGTGAGTCTAAATGTCAAGTTTCTGGAAAGGCTCTTGGGTCAGACCAACTTCTGTACTACCTATTTAGCTACACACAGAAAGCAGCGGTCCATTGACCTCAGTGGTTTGGGTTGCTGTTTCTCTCAGACTCTCTTGACTACCTGCAACCATGAAAGGAAGGGCAGTAGCATTACACAATTTACAAAATACACCTTAACTGCTGGATTAGGGAGTCTTTTGAGGACCTATCAAATTAGCTGACTTCCTTTCTCACACCTTAGCAAACAACTTTGCCTTGTGTAGAGCATCTATTTTGAGAAGTGTTTCCTGAAGAAAAGCTGTAAAAGTTATTTCAGTTTAGGCCTCCTCGAACAGCTCAGGCCTCTTAGAGAACCCACATACCATAACTTCGGCTCAAGCTAGAGCTAGCAGGAAGGACTTAAACTTGCTGCTTAAGTAGAACTGCTGGGCACTGATATGTGTACCTATCTGACTACAGTTTTAGGAACAGAGCATTTCAGTTTTGTATATTAATAGAGTTATATATAAAATGTATGAGTAGAGTTTGTCTGTTTGTTTAACTTCCCTTACTTCTTGTAAAGGTCTGTGACTCCTGGATGATTCTCCTGTAACTTGATTTCGCTGCTGTTTTTTCACTGGAAGAACTTCTTGAGTTTAAAAATCTGCCCAGAGCTGCTACTATTATGTATATACTTGTAACTGTTGTGTCAAAAACATATTTGACAAGGCAGTAGTATTGCCTTAACTTGCACTTTTGATGACACAGTAAATATTTTGAAATAAATAGACCTAGTTTATTTCAGCTTCCATGTTTTTTTATTATTATAATCAGTGCATCAGTGATATCACAGCTTGCACTGGCTTTCGCTTTTGTTTTCTTTTCACTGACAGCATCTGTGCTTTGTTATATCCTTTTCTTCTGTTGTAGAGAACAGAGGAGTCCCTGTAGGCTTAACTACACAAAGCACCAAAACCTAGTTCCTTTTCAGTATAGGATCCTCCTAAAGGAATGGGACTGCTCTGGTACAAAAGCTTTGCTTTTGTGTGAGGCATCCCCCTATTTGAGCATGGGTCCGATTAATTAGTAAACAAATATTGTTTTAATACACCTGGGTTAACAATGCATAGACGGGCAGAAGGACAGCAAAGAGAAACGTAAGTTGAATGTATTTCTCGTGAGACAAAGACAACTCTCAAAACACTATAGTGTTGGCTGGCTAGCGGGTGGGAACAGCAGGTGCTTGGATTTGGATTCCTGACAGCCAAGGCTTCAGGAGGATGGAGAGAATCCTGTTCCTCCCATGGTCAATGTGGTCAGCTCTGGTCAGCCTCTGCAAACAGTCATGAGACACATTTCTCGTTGAGTCATAAAGGAAAATTATGTTAAACTGAAACCACAGTAAAGCAGCTTAATTCTCTACCTCAGTACACGTACTTCCCTGAGCACCCTGCACAACAGCAAAGCTCATCATTGCTAACTGAATTGCACAATTCCAGAATACAAGGTAGTCCTGGACAAAATTAACAAGATCAAAAGACATACTCCGTGCAGAAGTGCAAGACCCCAGTGCCATTTAAATAGGGTGACTGTCTCATCTCAGCATTTTTCACGGATGCACTGAAACCAAATGAAGAAGTAGAGCTTTAATGTACTGCCAGCTGGCACACCGTTCCCAAACATAGCAGGAGCACATTTGGGTTTCTGTTCTGCCAAGAGGACTTTTTAATGACCTTGAGGCACCAACTGGAGACACCAGTTTGCATAGACATCTTCAGCTGCTGCCTTGCAGCAATGCCTTTGACATGAGCAGCCACATCATCTGAAGTACTCTGCTGAAACTGAAGTGCGCCAGTCTCCCGGGGGAATTTTCTAAAGCAGCTGCATTAATACTGCTATAATATGTTATGGCAGCAGGTGCCTATTTAAAACAGCTCCTCAAAGCTTATTTTTAAGAGCCTAGGTTCTACTCCATGACACACAGAAAGGCAGCCAAAACTTCAGTCATACCCTGATTACACTGCAGCCTGCCACAGTACTGACCTCGGACACCTAGAATGAAAGAATCGCATACACAGTTAGCGCTGGCTGGCCAGCCAAATCCCTCCTCCAGACGCAACTATGCCAGTGTTTGTTTAAAGGTGCTAGAATAGCTCTGCCTGGAGAAAACCCGCTGGCAACACACGCTGCCTCCGCATCAACAATTCTGCGGGCAGCTATAGTAACCAGTAACACTGGTTCAGGCCCGGAAAAAAAAAAAAAAAAAGAAAACAAGTCATATTATGGCAACTGTCTCTGGTCAGCAGTGGTACAGCAAGAAGAAGAAAAAACACCAGTCTGCAGTGATACATTGAACAGATTTTTATTCTTCACATTCATTCATAATTGTACAAAAACACCAAGTGGGGTGAGGCAATTCCAGGCAGTAGCGTTCTAAAACTTGATCTGGGCATAAATACAAATCCCAAAATACATGCGAGAATCCTCATTTTCCCCCCACGATCCTCATATCCTAATTCAAAGTTACTTACTCTCAGTATCTGTTGTGAAGATATATGTTTGGGCATTGCTAGCTGGAGCGCTGCTGTGCAATACCCCCATTTGACGATTAGTTTCCTATCCTAATCTACTGACATTTGACAAAGCTTTTAAGGTCTTCAAGGAATTTAATGTACTCCTGGTGCTCCAGTGCAGTGCTGAGCTCAATTAACTCATCAGCGAATGTGTTGTCCACTCCTCGATCAGCCAGGAAATCCATTAAGTGATCATACAGAGCCTGGAAGGAAGGAACAGAAAACTTACTGAGCAGAACACACCTGGGTACGGGTTGATTTTAAGATGCCCCATGGCACTGGGCTTTTCTTTCTCTGAGGAAAATCAGACCTTCCTCCTGCACGAGACCAGATACCAGGCACATTTTTTGCAATTAATTTTGTCTCAAGTCAGAACGGGGAAAAAAAAGCAGCACGGGATATTTTAGAGCACACTACCAACGTAATGTGAACACTACCCAAAGATAAATACTCTAAAATGTTAATCACATGATATACAGCTTCAAATTAAGAAGGCTTTAACCTTTTGAAAGCCTGGCATTGAGAACTTTTAAGTACATGCCAGATTCTTGAACAGATTCCAGGTTTGTTTGTTTCTTTTAATTTTATGTCCCCACTAGGAAAACATACCTGGGAAACTTAAAACAAAAATTAAACTACTGTTACGTTGAACATAGATTAAATGATACTTGTGCAAGCATCGTTAAAGCATCTCTAAAACGCAGTGCAGCTAGGAAAAAGCATCATAAACTTCTGAAGCCTGAGACAGAAGTGGTTTCAACATGGAGGCCTCTCACTGCCACTAATGCCACCAGCACTGCATGACTACTGGGACCACATAACAGCCCTCAGTCTGCAGTGGATCTGCAGCACAGAAAAGCATTGCCGCACAGCAAGCCCGGGCAGAGCAGGGGAATCCCCGGTCTCAGGCACCCGGAACAGGATTCATCCAGAATTCAGAAGCAGGGAGTGAGTCCAGGGAAGCTCAAGTGTCCTCTGCAGTCTAAGGCCTTGTTAGTTTTAGCAGCACTTACCCAGTCAAGGGAATCTGTATTGAGGGTGTAGTTGGTTTCCTTCCAATCTGATTCTCCAGCGGGCTGGAAGCTGACCTCTCGAATTGTGAAAATATCACTTTCGTCCTCTCCCTCCTGTCCGACCTGAAACAGGAAATGGAGGCAAGACAAAGATTAGCCCAAACTACAGGGCTCCTTTAGCCACTGCTTCAGCCTGAAGCAAGGAATATTACAGTGCAGGCAAAACCCCACAACCAGTATTAAAGCCATTCCTCTCTTTCAACACATGCCTGTGAAGACAAGCACGCACATGCACGAGAACACAGGAAATCCCAAAAGAGGTCAGTCTACCAGTTCTTGCAACCTGATGTAAGTCAATGACAAAGATGTAAAAATCTCTTCTGCAAGGTTCTAAAACATTCTGTCCTCAGAAGTCTGTCTAACCTTTGACATCAGAGTGTCTGCATAAACGATGTTAAGATGTGCAAAATAAACCACAAAAATCACCCTGAAGCAAAGCTCTCAGTTTAATTCCCCTCCCTTTTTTCTTTTTCTTTTTTTTTTTTTTTGGCTAATCCCTACTACTCTTCCACCTTTGTGACACCTCAGCACCCATGAGATTTGCAAGTTACTTATACATTGTATTAAATGTATCCTTTAGGCCATTCTTGTTTACCTATCTCAATTTGCCATGCAGTTAAAGAATCCATACCTCCTTTCTCCAATTCAATAAGCTAGCCTATATGTAGCTGATTAGAAAAGCAAGGTCAGGATATAAGGAATGTAATGGAACATCTCCCCAGAGCTTATTCTTGCAGGCTCTTAAAGCCTTTTTTTGTGTTAAACAAGAGAAGCAAGAGAAGACTGCATTTTCTGCAGATTAAGAAAACCAGCAGACTGTTAGAGCAGTTAGATTCAACAGTGGCACAATTACACTGTGGTCAAGCAGGAGATGTGCAGTGAGCCACAGGCCAGAGTTAGCCGTAGCTGACACCTGAGCAGTTCAATACTCACCTCATCTTCAGGATAATGGCAGTCAAGAACAAGGGTCTGTTTTGTATCATCTTTTATTACTTCTACAACAAAGTTTGGAGTTGATGTAATATCAGGCTACGTAAAAGGTAAGAAAGAAATTCACATCAGCATTGGAGTCTGAACGGGAGCTAAAGCAGCCAAGGTACAGCCCAGCAACACAGCCCATCCAGCACCCAGGTTGTTCCCAGTCACCCTCTTTCTTGAGGGCCTCTGGAGTTGTCCTCGCCAAGGCAGCCTCCTCCAACCTCACCCACGGCCCTTCAGCCCCTTCTCTATTCTGCATCTGGTCACGTTGGTAGAACGATCACTAACAACCCAGAGAGCCTGCAACTCACCCAGATTCCTCCCCCTGTAAATTGTTTTGAGAGCAGGAGTTGCTCTCGCCAGCGCTCCTTCACGTGGGACATTTGGCAGTGCACAAAGACTTCCTATGCACACGCACGGACCAAGCACACTGTGTGTTCTCAGTAGATAAGGGCATGCCCAGGGATGGGGAGCAACGTACAGTCTCCCCAGCCCGCCCAGCTGAGTGTACTAAGCAGTAATGCACTGGAATAAGCACTAACGTTCAAAAAACGCAGAGTAACTGCTATAAACCACAGACATGCAGTACAGTTTCATTCCCTACTTGTTCAACCAATGTCACTGTAGATTAGGCATCTGCCTCAAATCACATTGCTCGCTTAGTTTTACCAGTACTTTTACTCACAGTCTTATGAAAAAGGAGCATGCGACACTCTTCTAATCAACAAAACCATGCAAACAACGTCATGTGAGTAGTTTTGCATTTTGTTGGCATGGCATACCAGTACCATTAGTTACACTAGCTAAGCAAAGTACAAAAGGCAGTATTTATTGTAGCAGGTTACAGAGGCAGCCATAAAGTCAAATATCTCCGTTCCTTTCATCTCTCCTCATACAGAACCCTCTCACCCTCTCTGTCTTCCTGCTACAGAGAGAAGAGGGTCACAGCCAAAGAACAGGAAATTGAGAAAAATCTGCGTTATGTTATCTTTATGCTCCCAAATATCAAATGAGAGAAAAAGCATTAAGGGCCAACAGCTAACTTTCCTGTGTGCTGACATCCATAATAAAGTGTACATAAAGACTATGTTTACCTCCTGCTCATCAGGTTTCTGCTCTTCTTGTGTTTCTTCTTCTTCAAGAGATGGCGGAATGCTGTTATTGATGTTGAACGTAACCGTTATCCTTCAAAAGAACCATAAGCAATTATTTTAAACACAATAAAGAAAATACTTACTGTATCTCTCGTATTTGAAACTTTTGTAGCAGGGACAGCACTACAGCCATTGAATTCACACCTCATGAACGAGATTCAAAGCATATTACATGTTCTGTTCTATTTGTCCTTCCCTCATGTGGTATGTATTGCAGCTTAGAGTTTAAGATGCACGCTCTAATAAAACAGGTGGGCGTTCTTCAAGTTTTATTAGACTGATTTCATGTTTTTAATGGAGGGAGATCTCACAAATCTTTGCAACACACAAAACAAAGCCAACTGGTAAGAAAAACACCTTGGGCCCAGGATGGTAAAATAACGAGCCTATGCAACACCCAGAGTTTGCGCAGCCTGGATAGACAGTGGCACAAGCAACACGAACACACAGAAGAATTGTGATTACTGCTGTCAAGCACACACGCTTGCCCAGATGAATCCTTAGAAACACCAAGCACCCGTTTGCACTTACTTCTCCCCAGCTATTTTCCGGACCAGCTTGGCCTCTGTGCCATGGACTTCCAGCTCCCACCCTCCAGATATCTTGGGCAGGGATTTATGTTTCTGGATCTTCTTCTCCTCTTTTATTTCATCCGTCAGAAAGGCTGCAAACGCTTTGTCTCCTTAGGAGGCAGCAATAAGGCGAGTGAATAAGAAAGGAAAAAAGCAAGAAACCCCTCGAGAGCGGGCAGGGGCTGCAGATCGCCCCTTCCCCCGCGGCCACCGCGGGAGACG